TGCATTGCTTTATGGATCAAGAGAAAACATACGTATTTATGGATGATGCATGTATGCTTTCATAATCAACACCTCGTTGTAATTAATTCAGCTAATAATTGCAGTTATTTTAAGATTCTTGAGCAAAGCAAACGCTGCCAAACAAATGCGCATTCCTTTGTGAGATATCTGTCAGATTTAATTGTGATTCAAACCAACAGGATGTTGACTTTGCTCAAGTGGCTTTACTAGCTTTGCTGCAGGAAGGAGGAATATTTAATATATACATTCTATAAATATTGTATGAAAGTTGGTGTAAAAAATCTTTTAATTTCTCCCATTATTCTCATGCACATGGAATTAGGTATATCAATAGGTTAAAAAATTTCACAATCTGTATAACTGTGTGAAAAATGGACCTCTTTTCTTCATGCTGTTGTAGTATCCTTTGATAGAAATAGGTTGTGTGTTGTGACCTTGGAAAGTGCCTAGAAACAACATATGTTGTGCACAACTTTGGGAAGATACCGATATCGCTTTCTAAAATCTCAGTTCTGGCTCTATCTCTATAAAACCACAAGGACGTTGATGTGAAGTCTTTTGGAGATGTCTCTGGGCTGAGAAATAATTCCTTATATGCCGAATCAAAATGTTTTATACAAAGATGTAAAACGGTAATCTTATTTAATGGATCAGCTTTTATATTTCCAACACAGTTTCTAAGACGTTATTTAAGACGTAACTTATCATTGCATTTGAACTATTATATCAGTTGGTGTTATCCTGTGCGATAAGCGAATATTATTGGAAAGAGGGCTTCCATAGGCGTTGAAATCACCAAATAAACAGCTCATGCACATACTCATCCAATCAAAATGTGCCAGACAAATGTCAATTTCACGTAATTTAACAACAAGCTAAACGTAGTGACAATCACTAAATCTACAACTATTCAATTATATATAGCATTAACTAAAATATAAAAAAGTACATTAAATATGGCATGAAATTTTCATGCTAGAAATAGCCAGTCAGAGTTAAACCATAAAGGCAGTTGTAGGACACCAACGAATCAGGTCTTCATTTTTTTGCACAGTTGTAATCCCTTGTATACAGAGATGAAATTTGCTTCAGCAAAGCAAGCTGTCAAGTTTGGTATTGGGGCTGGTTTGCTTCCAGACACGCAAACTTCTGTTAAGACTGTAAAATGTCAAACTACATCATCCCCCCCCCCCCACTGGTATAAACAACAGTATTATAAAATAGACATAAAATTTAATTATTATGTTAATACATACAAATCGACATTAACTGTGGAGCCCATTTCCACTTTAATTAAACACTTCTTGAACTGAACAATGTACTACAATGTAAAATATAGTTAAATTTCACTTACTTTAGAGCCCTCGGGCTCAGTTCGAGTTTCACATAGTGGGCATCTCACAGTATAAATATACTTCAATTCTTGAATGTACTCAGTTGAATAATTAGATTCATTCCAAGCCATGGTAATTATTCGACCGTAAATTACTATTTTGTTCTCCGTCAATTTCGAGGGATATTTCTTCGCATTATTTGTCTCAATTGCATATTAGTGTTTGTATATCCTTGCCGCCATGACTTGAATCGAATGCCTCGTTACGTCACAGTAGATTTTGGTTTTGCAATTTGCATCAGTGGATCGATACGAGCGCCCGCAATCTGCACGCGATGCATCGCTCAGCGGACAAATCTACCGTGACGCAGGGTTCTAAAACAATAGATTTAATGATGTCGCAGTCGATTTCACACGGAAAAGGCTCGGGACCGATGCATTCACTGATGCAAAATGGCTGAAAATCGATGCAAACTAAATCTAACGTTGACGTAAGTGATGTGTTGGCTTTCCACTGTGACGTCAAAGGATGCGGTAAAAGATAACATATTTTGTCGCGAAATTATTGACGCTTAAATGTCGCAAAATAGAAAGTAAATAACAGAAAACACACATTTGCGATCGCACGTCGCACATTGACTTATTTTGACAATTTCGACTGCTATTGAAACTATTCAAATTGGATTCCATCCTAAATTGTTTATTCCTGACATGGAGGCAAGTTTAAGCAAATATTTGCAGTTTGATAGCTGGAAAGATTCAAAGATATTCTATTACTGAGTGCTTGACTAAGTATTGACGACAGCATAGTATGTGTATTTATTATTTCAAGCAACATGATTTCTCAATTTTAACCGATGCATTCGCATCGTTGGCATTGGTCTGGATCCGCCCTTATTGCGTAGTATATTCCGCGCTATTGGTCAAATATTCATTTAGGAGGTAATGCCCATGTTCGGGCAACCCATGCAGGCGGGTGGTAGACGACACAGATTGCAATGCCTGAGAGAGTTTTTAAGTAGGCCAGTAGGGCGTAGTCAAAGCCACAAGCACTCAAAATTGTTGCTTTCAAGGTCAGTTCGACGCTTAGTATGGATATGCTTAGAGAGATAAACACAAAACCTCACCTCCACGTCTATAAAGGCGGTCCCTTCGGAAAATGTTATAGCTACTAATTGAAACAAGGTTATCTTCTATATCATTGTTCAACCATGTTTCCGTCCCTGCCACCAAGTTTCTGAACAGTGGCGTAACGTTATATCAGGGGGCCCCCGGTTCAAAATTTTCGGAGGCCCCCCTAGTAGAAGTGCCAAAGACACGAGTCGAGCGCCGTATATGCACGAATTTTCTAGGGGGTCCAGGGCATGCTCATCCAGAAAATTTTTGAATTTAGTCTTACTGAAATGCTGTTATAAAGATTCATTGTTATTATTCATTGTAATTATAAGGATTACGCAACTTTGGAACGCACGTGAACAATTTGATCGCTGTGACGTATCACGTGAACATTTTTTGCCAGTAATTTATTAGTGTATTGTTTTTCGTATTTTTTGTACAATAAAATGTTTTGTGTGTATATTATCGAAGAAAAGGTCAAATTTATCGTAGAATCACTATTCATAACATGGCGCCCAACGTGGGGCATTAAGCCCAAGACCGTATAATCGATTTAAAATGTCTTTGGAAGCGAATACAAAGGAAAAATTTGACCGTTTACGAGCGAAGCGAGGAGGCCATTGTGACGTGTGCACAAAGTTAGCAAAGGAAGCGGAAGAGGTTATCCAATCTCAAGACGAAGAAAATATCAATCGAAGCGAAGTTATTCATTCGTTACTGGGCGAGAAATTGAAAATACTTAACGAACTGGACGAAGAAATCCTTGGATTATGCGAAATTAAGGACATAGAAATCGAAATAGAAGAGTCATTGGAGATAGTGGCTCGCATATTAAACGCTACAAAGAAAATCGAGAAGTATAAACGAGGACATGGAAACGTAAACAAGGTTAGTAATCAAACGATTGTGAATTCGAGCGAGAATAATGCTGTAAATATGAATGAAACGTCAAGTAATATTGAGCAAACAAGCGATAACTTGAATGAAACCAGTAATGTAAACACATCGTCACATTATTCAAATACAACCGTGTCATCAAAACCAAAACTACCGAAGCTGACATTACCAAAATTTAGAGGTCAAGTGACAATGTGGAGTACATTTTGGGATTCATATGAATCAGCAATACATAAAAACAATGATATTTCAACCATTGACAAATTCAATTACCTGAACTCTCTCTTAGAGGGTCCCGCATTACGAGCTATACAAGGACTTACATTAACAAATGCTAATTATGAGTCTGCCATCCAAATTCTCAAGGATCGTTTCGGTAAGCCGCAACAAATTGTAACAGCACACATGGACGAAATACTCAAGATCCAAGCCTGCACTAGCGATAAGTTATCTGCTTTAAGATTTGTATACGACAAGATCAGTGTGCATGTACGCGGCTTGGCTTCCTTGGGTATCTCTTCAGAGCAATATGGAAGTTTATTAATACCCATAATCATGTCAAAAATGCCAAGCGATGTTAGATTACAAATCGCTCGAAAGTCAACTAAGGATGTTTGGGTAATCGATGAACTGCTTCAAACAATCAAAATCGAAATTGAGGCGCGTGAAGCTAGCGAGGCAACCAAGGCAACTGAGAACAGTTCACACAAATTTCCGAAATCGCAAGGTTCAGCAAAGGGATATAACCCCCCTACTGCTAGTAGTTTAGCAGCCAAAACAAAGGACGGTGGTAGTTTCAAAATACAATGTGTTTATTGTGAAGGGAGTCATTATTCGGCTTCATGTGACAAGGTTATTAGTTCTGAAGCACGTAAGAAAATTTTAGGAGAATCTGGTCGCTGTTTTAATTGTTTGTATAAAGGTCACCATGCCCGAGATTGTACCAACCAGAGGAGATGCCGTCATTGCTCAGGTAGACATCATCAGTCTATCTGCGCTCGAATCGATAAGCCAAAAAATAACGAAGCGACTAAACATGAAGATAATCAACCGGAAGTAAATTCGAATTTGACAGTGACTGCCACAAGAGTATCTCAGGGAACTGTTTTATTACAAACAGCTCGGGCTGTTGCGACAGATGGTGAGAAATCAGTACCAGTGCGAGTACTATTTGACACTGGAAATCAGCGGACTTACATCACTAATTCAGTTCAGAGACGGTTGAATTTAAAGCCCACATCAAGGGAAACACTTAATTTGAATACGTTTGGCGACAACAAATTCAAGCGAAAGGATTGTGATGTATATAAGCTTACTTTAGAAAGTAGAACCGATCGAGATAGCATTGAAATTTCTGCCATTAATTTCCCCACTATTTGTTCTCCTGTACGAACAAGGGTTAACACAAGTTATGCACACTTAAGGGGACTGGAACTAGCAGACTACAACGAAGACAGTAAGGATGATACTATTGATATCCTTATTGGGGCTGACCACTATTGGGATTTTATAACGGGAGACATTGTTCGAGGTGAAGGTGGGCCCACAGCCATTAGCAGTAAGCTAGGTTGGTTATTGTTGGGTCGCACAACTCAATCTTTATCCAACAACCATTCCAGCATCTCCAACCTCATTTTAGCTGGTGATCCATGCCAGAATTCTGCCATTCCAAATCGAAACGATGAAATTGTTGATTCACTAAAACGATTCTGGGACACTGAATCCATTGGGATCACTGATAACAAACAAGATTCCCACCAAGATGACAAATTTCTGCAAAACATCCAATTTACAGGTGAGCGTTACAAAGTGGGACTTCCGTGGAAGGAAGAGCGTCCTATGCTAGACAACGACTATGATTTATATTACAACCGACTGCGTTCGTTGTACAGCAAACTAAAGAAACAACCGGAACTACTTCAAGAATACGATAAGAGCATCAAAGATCAAATAGAATTGGGAATCATTGAGGAAGTACCTCGTGTGAGTGGAAGCACAAGCAATAACCAAGACAACGATAATGTACATTATCTCCCACACCACGCTGTTGTGCGTGAAGATAAATCCACTACGAAATTACGTGTAGTATACGACGGTTCTGCCACTACCAAAGAACGAAACTATTCACTCAACGATTGCCTATATATTTGTCCTAACAATATTCCTCATTTATTCAACATACTCGTGAAGTTCAGATCCCATGCAGTTGGATTGGTTGCAGATATAGAAAAGGCATTGTTAATGGTGGGCATAGATCATGTGGACCGAGACTTGCTACGTTTTCTTTGGGTTAAGAACATTCAGGAACCGATTCCAGAAATCATCGAGTTTCGATTCACCAGATTAGTCTTTGGATTAAGACCATCGCCTGCTATGTTGGGAGCTACGATTAATCATCACTTGAATTTATATGAAGACGAGAATCCTGATGCAGTCAAAGTATTAAAGAATGGCCTGTATGTCGATGATTTAGTTTCTGGGGCTCCGAGTCATGACGAAGCATTAGATATTTACAAGGGCACCAAAGGCATCATGCTAGCTGGTGGTTTCAATTTACGTAAGTGGGCTTCCAATTCGAATACTGTTGTTGAAACTATAACCCAGGGAGAGAGTAATATCGATTCAGACAACAAACCCTCGTCCCCAGCCGTGATTAAAGAACACTCGTCCCCAGCCATGATCGAAGAACCCTCGTCCCCAGCCATAGTACTCTCGTCCCAAGTCGTGATCGAAGAACCCTCGTCTCCAGCCATGATTGAAGTACCCTCGTCCCAAGTCGTGATCGAAGAACCCTCGTCCCCAGCCATGATTGAAGTACCCTCGTCCCAAGTTGTGATCGAAGAACCCTCGTCCCCAGCCATGATCGAAGTACCCTCGTCCTCAGCCATGATCGAAGTACCCTCGTCCCCAGCCATGATCGAGGTACCCTCATCCCCAGCCATGATTGAAGTACCCTCGTCCCCAGCCATGATCGAAGAACCCTCGTCCCCAGCCGTGATTAAAGAACCCTCGTCCCCAATCGTAATGGAAGAAACCGAGTCCTACACTAAAACAACAATCGGTCAAGAAACCACTGTGACAAAGGATAAATGCGTCAAGGTACTTGGGGTCCTTTGGGACACTGAGAATGACACGTTTATGTTCGAATTTTCGAGTTTGGTTCAATATGCTCGTTCCTTGCCAGCGACGAAACGCTCTGTGCTAAAGGTTACTTCGAAAATCTTTGATCCTGTTGGATTTCTAACACCATTTGTCATCAAGATGAAAGCATTATTTCAAGAATTGTGTGTCGAAGTAAGTGAATGGGACGACGAACTCAAACATGGACTTCTAACCAAGTGGAA